TAATGCCCAGACCTGGGAAGGAGCATATACCACCTGCTGCTGTGGACTGCATGTTTGTGTCTGACCCCCATCCCACCCCCATTCATAGGTTGAAACCCTAATCTGTGGCATGATAGTATTTGGGAATAGGCCTTTGGGAAGTAATGAGGTCTTAAGATAATGCTAAGTGAAGTTAGCCAATCCCAAAAAACCAAATGCCAAATGTTTTCTCTGATATAAGGAGGCTGATTCATAGTGGGGTAGGGAGGGGGAGCTTGGGGAAATAGACCAACTCTAGACAGGGCAGAGGGGTGGGAGGGGAAGGGAAGGGGCAGGGGGTTAGTGAGGATGGTGGAATGTAATGGATATCATTATCCAAAGTACATGTATGAAGACACGAATTGGTGTGAATATACTTTGTATACAACCAGATATGAAAAATGGTGCTCTATATGTGTAATAAGGATTGTCATGCATCCCGCTGTCATATATAAATAAAAAATTAATAAAAGAATAAAGAAAAGAGCGCCCAGATGATGGCATTAGTGCCCTAATATCTACTGTGAGGTCTCTGTCTCTCTCTCTCTCTCTCTCTCTCTCTCTCCCCCCCCCTCCCTCTCCCTCCCTCTCTCTCTAACCCTGTTGCCAGCAGCTTCCTCTGAGACTTCCTAGTCACTGTGTGTTCGCTGTTTCTGTAAACACACCCGCCCGTGGTATTTTTCTTGTAGCAACCCAAATAATCAGACACTCCCCTCAACATCCAGAAAGTCACCTGGATCATCCACCCGTAAGAGAGGCTGGGAAATGTGGTCTCCGGTGGCACAACCTTGGCACTAGCTACAATCCAATTATTTTGGATGAATGGAAGAACGAATTTTGGTAGAGAAATGGGTGGTGTCTACCACATAGGGTAGCTGCAGGAGTTCCGCTGAACTCAGGGACAGTAGTTGATGACCGTGTTCCCAGGAACCCTCAGCCCTGCAGGTACAGATCCACTGTCCTGTGCACCAGGGAGCTTGGCCCTGGTCACCTTGTTGGTGGAAACTGTCTCCTGCTAACATCATTGGCTCCCGGCCAAGGCAAGAAAAAGGGACACTGCCCATCAAGTGACCTACTTCCTGGCTTATGGCAGCCCTTCTCCTGCCACTCTGATGACCCTTTGTTCTGTCTCACGCCAAATCCACACCCTGGGCAATTACCCCTGGCAAGACCTAAAACTTCCTCCTTTATGCAGTTTTCCTGAGGGAAACTCAAAAGCAAACAGTTGTACAGAGTCCACAGCCCCTGATGCTGGGACCTCTAGGAAACATCCCCACCTCCCCTTTCCCCAAAAGGAACCCAAAGGACCAAGCAGGGGAAAGCTGTCAGACTGGCCTCGGTTACCACTGAACCCAACAGCGACCGAGTGGTAAAATTTCAGATTCGGTGTGAGGAGGGAGAGTGGAGATGGAGACTCTTGGTCTCCTGGCTGGTGGAGAACCCTGACTGTCCCAGTGCTGACCATCCTCAGGCCGTCTTGGTGAAGAACATCACACCTCTGTACAATAGGTGTCCCTTCCCAGAGGCTCCAGGTGGTGGCACATTCACAAAATAAATTAATTCTTTCAATGTGCCAAGGAGAGAGCCTTCCAGGTAACCTTCCAGAGGTGAAATTATTTGTCATGGTGGACTGTCCGGCCTCAAAGAAAAGAGACATGAGCAGGCAAGTGCTTTTAGTAAACAGAAGCCCACAGTTCCCACGGGTGGCCTGGAAGGGCACTCTGCACGTGGGGCTCAGGAGACCACCTCTGTCCCTGTCAGTCTTTCCTTTCCCAAAGGTGACCACCCATATCCTCCAGGTGGAGACCACTCCATCCCTAGGAAGCAGGAAGTCCCACCCTGGAGGAGGAAGAGGGAGTAAAAGTGTCCCTGAGCTGGTAGAAGAGATCCGGGCCTGGCAGAGCTCACTCTGAGGAGCTGGGACACACTCTGCGGCTGCCAGATGGTGTTTATTTCCCTGTAACCCTCCCACTTCCCAAAGCCCTGTAAGGACTGTTAAGCTCAGAAGAAGGTTTGTGCAGTCAGCATGTGAGAGCTCAAAAGTACTGCACAGGCTTTACCTTTTTATTATCAAACTCTTATAATGAATCCCCATGTCCCTGTACCCAGCTCCAATAATTATTAACATGTTGCTTATCTGTTTTTTTTTTCTATTGACCTTACAAAAAGAAAGATCTCTTGGCAGAGTGCTCAGTATTTTAAAGCAAAACCCAGACATGACATCATCTCACCTACAAATTAAGTGTTATACAAAAATTATGGGATGCTATTATGCCAGGACCAAACCCCTACACTAGGCCTCAAAAGACCAGACCAAACCAAAATGGAATTACTAGCTGCTACGTAGGAACTTTTAGGGGCAAGCACCTATGCTTGTGGGAGGGGAAGCGGCTGCCTTTTTAGACTGTTAACATCCTTCAAGTTGCTTTTCTTCAGATTAGGCCCTCCAGAGAAGGCTACAGGGAACAGGTTTAGACCAGCCAGAAGTATATAGTCCCTTTTCTAGAGGACCTAGAATCAATTTTGCTCATTATAATCTAAATTATTATTATAATGCTAAATTCTCCACCCAGGAGGTGTTCCTCACTGTTGTCTTTGAATAAGACCCCGTATGAAGACGTAAGGTTTGAAATTGCGCATGCGCAGGAAAGCCCCCCCCCCCCATGATATCAAGTCTTTCCATTTTGGATATAAGTCTCCTCAGTAAAAGTCCCTTGCTTCCTTTGCTCTGAGAGACACTGCTTTGGGAGTCACCCTACCTGCTCTTTCTACTCGCTGCAGGTAATTGACCTTTCTTCACTCTTATTTTCTGGAATTGCTCCTTGGTTTTGCACCACCAAGGGGTGAACCCACCGGGCCACGCCAGAGTCACTGGTGCTAAATGAAGTATGATCAGATGAAACTCCAAGTGAACAGATCCCAAAACAGACCAGTTCTTCTTGAAAACAGGAGATTCCAGTTGACCGAGTTAGAACAATAAGGTCTTTCTGCTTTAATTCTTACACACACACACACACACACACACACACACACACAGTAATCTAAAGTAATTTTATATGTCAACCAAACCATTTTTTCTATTGTTCAATTTCCTTGTTCCTACTTTACAAAACCCACTGTCTGTTCCTGCCTGATGGGAGCGCCCATTCTGTAGAATGGAGGCCACCCTAATCCATGAATCATTTATATTTTTTTTCAATCTGTAACTGAGTTGCAATTTTCTTTTGAACAATTGTTTTATTTAATGGCATTTGAAATATTACAAACATGACAGTTCCTTGTTCAACCACACAAGCTTGGAGTTTTGAGCAAGGAGGGCCAGAACCCCTGGATCGCCCCTGCCCCACCCACCCACCCCCACCCCGCTTCCTAGTTTGACAAAGAAGGGGCCTGAGGCCCAGAGGAAACAGGCTGCTCAATGTTGGGGCTAAAGCGACAACAGAGAGAAGTTGGTCCTTCTGGCGGCCCAGTAACAGAACTCGCCCTGGGGGCTGACTTCCCCGGGGCCTGGTCCCTGGGAGGGGCGGGGAACCCTCCACGGTTACCAGCGGAATCATCCGCGCATCCTTCTGCGCGCGGCGGGCCTCGGATGCTGTCAGGTCGTGGGACCTGCCAACCGCGATAACAGAATCCAGGAGCCCCAGGCGGGCTAGGGCGGGGTAGCGGGGGCGGGAATGGCCTTGGGAAGACGGGGGAACCAGCTCCCACAATCGGCTGGATAACGCCCCGCGGCCTCAGGGCAGGACGAAGCTAGCTTCGGGTAAGGCTGGCTTCGCGCCGGCGCCCGAGACCCGGCCGGGAGCAGGAAGTTGTCTCCCTGGGGTGCGGCTCCTGGGTGCGGCGCTGCAGGTGCAGCGTAGGGTAGTGCAGGCCGGCATCCCGTGCGCTGGAGGAGGTGAGCGCCAGGTGCCTTCGCAGCCCGGGAGCGCGGTCTTGGGCACGGGAGCTGGGCTGGCAGAGGGGACGGTATTTTCCCGAATGGGGTAGGAAAGGGGTGTCGAATTGAGGCTGAGAGCTAGGATCGACCCACCAGAAGGGTCCCGAATGCAGAACCGGGGCTGACGAACTGATGTCTGCAAGAGACAGTGTGGCCTCCGGCCTCTGGAATGTTTCTGGGGGTCTCAGGCTTGGGAGAGGGAGTGGGAGCAGTGAAAATGGGAGGGGGACCGTAACAAGGTCTGGAAGAAATGACCTGCGCTCTGAAGAGAGGCGCCGTATGGGTATAGGGACTGGTAGAGGACTGGGGGCAGTGAAAAAGGAGGCAGGAGGGCGTAACACGGGCCGGAAAAGTGACCTGGGCTCGGTAGAGGGCCAAGAGGTGTAGAGATGGTGCCAAGACTCTGCGGCGCATCCCGATTCTGAGAGGGAGAAGATGGACCCGAACGGAGCCAAATGGGTAGTAGAAGGAGCATCTGGAGCAAACAGTGAGGATGGGCGGGAGAGGGTGGTAGAGCCCCTCCAGGAAGGGGGCGAAGCTCAAGCACCCAGAAAAACCTTCGGTGACTGTGAACTGCAGAGCTCTGCGGCAGGGCAGTGAGCTGGGGCGCAGAGGCAGGTCAGACAGGCCAGCGCGGGCTCCGGGAGGCTGTGGCTTTAAGAGCAACCCAGGGCGTGCGGGCTCTTTAAGGAGGGGGCTGGGGGCGTGTCAGGAAATGAGCCTGGGCCCGCCTCGCCCGGGAGGCGGCCTCGGACGTCCGGAGGCTCCGGGGCCGATCCGAGCGGGAACCCGCGCCGGGGAAGGCGCGCGCGGCGGCCTGGCGTCCTCCCGGCCTCCACCCACATCCCCAAAGCCCTGCTCCCCGAGCGCTTGGGACCCGCGCTGCTCCCCTCCTGCGCCACCCCGCGGCGCGCCCTCGGCGCCGCCCTGGGCCGGCTCCCCACTCCCCGCAGACCCCTCGCCCTCGAGCCCACGCCTCGCTCCCGCCGCGCGCCTCCGCACGCGGCCCGCGGCCCTCTCCCCGCCCCGCCCCGCATCCCGGCGCTTCCCCCCGCCGCTCCTGCTCCTCTCCCCCGGTTTCCCCCTGCGACGCCTCCCCACTAGGCCCCAGCCCCGGTCCCTCGCTGCACCGCTGTCTCGGGCTCACCCTCCAGGGTCTTTCTCCTGAGCTCCCAGGGAGGGAGCCAGCGGTGGAGCAGGACAGCTGTGCTCACCCCAAAGCAGAACTTCATCCAGGAGGAAGGAGGCCGTTAGGCCACCCCTATGTGACAATCGAGGGCTGCGCCTGCAGAAAGCAGCAGCTCCCTGCCCTGTCATCCAGGGAATCCGTTCTGGCCGCCCTGTGACCCAGCTCCTCTGCTACCATGAACAGGGCCCCCCTGAAGCGCTCCAGGATCCTGCACATGGCGCTGAACGGTGCCCCCGACCCCTCTGGAGAGGCCGAGGCAGGCAGCGGGGAGAAGCCCTTTCTGCTGCGGGCACTGCAGATCGCTCTGGTGGTCTCTCTCTACTGGGTCACTTCCATCTCCATGGTGTTCCTCAACAAGTACCTGCTGGACAGCCCCTCCCTGCGGCTGGACGCCCCCATTTTCGTCACCTTCTACCAGTGCCTGGTGACCACGCTGCTATGCAAGGGCCTCAGCACGTTGGCCACCTGCTGCCCTGGTGCTGTGGACTTCCCCACGCTGCGCCTGGACCTCAGGGTGGCTCGCAGCGTCCTGCCACTGTCGGTGGTCTTCATCGGCATGATCACCTTCAATAACCTCTGCCTCAAGTACGTAGGGGTGGCCTTCTACAACGTGGGCCGCTCTCTCACCACCGTCTTCAACGTGCTGCTCTCCTACGTGCTGCTCAAGCAGACCACCTCCCTCTATGCCCTGCTCACCTGCAGCATCATCATTGGTGAGTGATTGGCTGGGGCCCCACCGAATAGGTAGGGCTGGCACAGGGCCAAACTGTAAAGAGCAACCAACCCTTCCAGGCACCTTTGTCCTAGTTCCCTTGGTTCAACAGTCAGAGAGGAAGAGCCTGGGGCCCAGAAAGAACACAAAACTGCCCAGGGTCATGTAGCAAGGTAGTTGCCCAGCGTGTGCCAGAGTAATAATTGCAATAATAATAGCAACAGCGGCAGCAAAAGTGACTGACATTGAGTTCTTAAAATGTGCCAGGCACACATATCCAGGCACTTTACCCATATTAACTAATACTCATAACAAGGTCGGATTATAACCCACATTTACAGAAGGAAAGCCAGGGCGCGGAGAAGTTCAATAACTTGTTCAAGATCACAATGCTGATCACTGGCGAAGCTGGGATGTGAACGCAAGCGGCCACATGCTTGACCTCTGTAGCATGTTGTTTCCCAAAAGCTCAAGTGTCCTGAGTACCCATCCCACTCTCTTTGTAGAGGACAGTGCATCTTAGTAAATACCCCATCACCCTCTGTCCTTGCTAGCCCGGATACCATCATCTCAGACTTGACCCTCAGAAGACAATTACTGATAGTGGTTTTATGCTCTCATTTCACATACAACATCTCCTTCAACTGCCCAGAAGTCCTGTGTGTGATGGTATCCCATGATCATCTATCTCCATGCAAATGAGGAAACTGAAGCTCAGAGAGGTTAACTTACTAGCCCGGGACCACAGAGCTGGCAAGTAACCAAGCTAGGATGTAAATCCAGATTGGCCAGACTCCCAGGCCTATGCTTCCAGTCTGCTCTGTTCTTGAACACTGGAGGCCAGAGCTTTACTGTCCAATTCAGGAGCCACTGGCCACGTGCACATTTAAATTGGTTAAATGAACTTTTAAGTATTCGTTTCCTCCTATGCAAGGGTTATCACCAGATTCTGCAGCCACGTTTCCGGTGCTCTGTGGCCACATGTGGCTAGGGGCTCTTGTGTTGGACAGCACAAGCCGTAGAACATTTCCTTATTGCCAAGGGTCAGTTGGGCAGCACTGCAGTGCCTCGCGGTCTGCTAGGCTCTGCCACCTAGGAGTGGGATCTTTATTTGCACCTGCTCGGGTTTTTCCTCAGCACCATAACGTGTGGCTTATTTGGCCTACATACTCTTCCCTGGTGTCCCAGAGTCCCCGACTCCGTGCACTAGTGGAGGGGGAAGGGCCCCTCCACACCATCTGTCCTCAAAATTCTCTCCCCTGGTTGAACAGCCATTGGACCTAGGGCTGCTGTGTCTTAGGCCCAAGAGGGGAGAAGAGAGAAGGGCAAGGTTATCGTGGGAGGAGTGGCCAGCAGCCCTGCCCAGGGAACCCCCCAGCCCCTGCTGCCTCCCTCTGGGCCTCACCTCCTCTCTGTCACCCCAGGGGTCTCCACTTAAGTGTCTCTGCCTCTGCCTGACACGGCATGGGGTGGGCCTCCTGGTGGGAGAATATGTTTGCCGGAAGGGAACTGAGCCCAGGTCCCCAGAGTAACCTAACCCAAGTGGCCGTTGGCAAGATAGCTGCTGAGAAGGCGTCTGCTGCTGCAAGACCTGCCCCTATCTGCAGGTCCCCTTCCTTCCTCCTTTGGGAAGTAGGTCTCAGCTACTACTCGAGGCCCTCCTCCTGGCCTCCCATGTCACATAGAACCTCCAAAGCTCCCTCTGCGGGACAGTGCCCTGGGGTCTGGAACCTTGAGGTTGCAGTCCCAGTTGGCTGGGGGGCTGGGAGTGCTCCGGCTAAGCTGGAGTGGGTAGCCAACCTGTGCCCCCCCCCCCAGCAGCCTGTGGGTACCCGGGGCTCTGCCAAGACAAGGAGGACTGCGTGTCTTGGCCTGGGACCTAATAGGTGCCTGCCGTCCTTTTTCTGAAATAGGACTCCCTTTGTTGCCCAGGCTTGTCTTGAACCCCTGGGCTCAAGCGGTCCTCCTGCCTCAGCCTCCCAAGCTGGACTATGGGTGTGCACCAGGCGTTGAGCTATGTCTCCTTTAGTACATGCAGCCACCTCCACCGTACCCGCCGTTCAGCCAGCAGCTATTAATTGGTCACTAAGCATGTGCCAGGCTTTGGTGTCACAAATTTGGAAAAGGTAGCCTCAGCTCCCACACTCAGAGGGCCTGGCCATGGTGCCTGGCAGTGATAACAGCTCTGCCCAGGGGGTAAGGGCAGCAGCGATGGGGACCCAGGAGGTGTTTGGAGGAAGGGGAGTAGGGAGGGGGCCATCTAAGCAGACTTTCTGGGGAAGCCCTGCCTGACACTAGGCTGCCCAGTTAGAGCTCAAGGGTGACCATGCGGTGCAGGCCTTGGGGGCCCAGGTGAATGAGCCGAATTTTTCTTGACAGCAGTTGGGAGCCACAGAGAGGCCTTGTACCTGCCAGGTGCCGCRGGAAGGTTCCTCAGGTTGCAAGGTTAAGAGTTGGAAGGTGCTGGGTTCCGTGGGGCGTGTCTCTAAGGAGGAGAATCCCAAGCAACTTAGCAGGGCCCTGTCTCAAAATTAAGAATAAAAAGGGCTGGAGATGTGGCTCAGTGGTTAGTGCCCCAGGTTCAATCCCTGATACAAAAAAAAAAAACAGAATAAAAAGGGCTGGGGGTAGCCCAGTGGTAGAGCATCCTGGGTTCCATCCCTAGTATCCCCCCACCCACAAAAAATAAAAAAGGGAATAGATTGGTTAGAGTGGGGAAATCAAGAAAGTGCCCCAGATCTTTACAAATGAAGGAAACTGGAGCTCTGAGAGGTTAAGTAACTTCCCCCAGGCCACTCAGCTTCTGAAATGCACAGCCCAGTTGGAGGTCAGGTCTCTGACAACCCAAGCTGTTCCTGCTACCCCACTTAKTGGCTGCTAGGGCAGGAGATGTCATGTGTAAAACCCAGCCCCCACCTTCTGGGAGCATGGGGTCTGGCTGAAGAGACCAGTCTATCAGATGCCTAGCAGCCCARGCCAGGCCAGTGGCTTAAGAGGTCAAGGGCTGGAGGTGGCAGAAAGGATCCCTCCTGGAGAGGCCGACTTTGGCCTTGAAGAGTGAGTAGAATCCCTCTGGAAAGGAGGCGTCTTCTGGGGCAGACGTGAGGCAAGGACACTGAGGCCCGTGAGAAGCAGGGAGATCCAGGTGCTGGTGACCCCAGGCAGAGACGGGCCGGAGGGTGCAGCAAGCCAGTGTGCCCGCCCAGGCTCCGTGCAGACTCGCTGGTGGGCAGCGGGGAGCTGTGGAGGCTCTCAGAGCAGGAGGTGAGTCTTGGGGTGACTGTCCCCAGATGCCTCAGGCCAGAGTGATTCCAGCGTAATGCTCCTGTGATGAGGTCCATGGAGAAGAAGCCAAGCCTAGAGACCCTGGCCCTGGCCCAGGGTCACCTTAACACTAAGTGGCATTATCCCAAAGCTGCTCCTTCCAGATGCCCAGGGCCAGCACAGCAGGTTGTTATCCTACGGCCTCTTCACAGTGTTTCCGAGGCAGGTTAAAGCACTGGGCAGTGGTCCGTGGAAGGACRTTCTCCTCTGCTGGATAGGAACGGGGCCTCACTCGGGCCTCTCCCCGAACCCTGGGATTTTGCTGGGGGGAGAGGGCCGGGTGGATTTGTGGAAGGAGGTATGGGGAGGGCGGCGTGGCCAGGGCCACAGTGGACTGTGAACTGTGGGGTCAGAGTCTATCCCTCTCCCCTGCCTTGGTCCCCGGGGCTCCTACAATAGCACGTCACAGACCAGGTGGCTGAGGAACGGCAGGGGCCGAGTCCTCCACGGTGCTGGAGTCTGTTCAGGATAGGAAGGACATCAGTGCCCCTGGGCCGAAGGTGGTGCCTGTGCTGACCGGGCATGGTGGGGCACAGGCCTCTTGCAGAAGAGCACTGTTCCCACCCTGAGGCCCCTGTCCCTGAGGGCGAGGCCTGCGGCATGAACCTGGGCAAACATTCCGACCACGTGCCTTCTCCTGGGCCTCCTGGCCTCCCGGTAGCTTTTACTGCCCCGTCCCTTCCGGTGGGCGCTGTGCCACTCCACCTCCCGGTGCTGTCTGCCTCCAGTCCTCACGGTGCTCCTCCCCCTCTGCCCCGCCCTGCCCCTCTCCCTGCTGCAGGTGGCTTCTGGCTGGGTGTGGACCAGGAGGAGGCCGAGGGCACCCTGTCCTTGGTGGGCACCGTCTTTGGGGTGCTGGCCAGCCTGTGTGTCTCGCTGAACGCCATCTACACCAAGAAGGTGCTCCCGGCGGTGGACGGCAGCATCTGGCGCCTGACCTTCTACAACAACGTCAACGCCTGCGTCCTCTTCCTGCCCCTGCTCCTGCTGCTCGGGGAGCATCAGGCCCTCCTGGACTTCGCGCAGCTGGACAGCGCCCACTTCTGGGKGATGATGACGCTGGGCGGCCTGTTCGGCTTCGCCATCGGCTACGTGACGGGGCTGCAGATCAAGTTCACCAGTCCCCTGACCCACAACGTGTCGGGCACGGCCAAGGCCTGCGCCCAGACGGTGCTAGCCGTGCTCTACTTCGAAGAAACCAAGAGCTTCCTGTGGTGGACCAGCAACGCCATGGTGCTGGGYGGCTCCTCCGCCTACACCTGGGTCCGGGGCTGGGAGATGAAGAGTCAGGAGGACCCCGGCCCCAGGGAGGGCGAGAARAGCGCCGTGGGGGTGTGAGCCTCCTCAGGGACCTGCGGCCGCCAGCCCCAGGSGTGAAGTCGGGGCTGGAACCCAAGGCTCTCTCCCTGCGGCCCCCAGGGCGAAGTGGACATTGTTTACAGACAGATCAGAATACGGGGCTGAAAAGGAGCCAGCGTTCCAAGTAGATCAGAAAGTTGCCAAACCTGTCCCCACCCCTGTCCTATTGATGGACACCATACTGAGGGGAGCACCCTGCCCGTCCCCCACCAGGTCCTCTACCTCCATCACCCCTGGGGTTGGACAGGGCTGCGCCCTCAAGGGTAGTATTGGTGAAGTGAAGTCTCACTTATACTCAAGGGAGATGGGGTGACCCCAACAGCCAGCCCAAGCTAGCCGGTCACCTCACATCTCCCAGGCCCTGGGCAGGAGGGTAGCGCTGGCCCCGCAAACCAGCCTGGGTTAGGAGGTTGTGGGGCCGAGCCCAGGGGGCAGTGGACCAGTACACCCCATTCTCTGTGCTGAAAGCAGCAAGCCACGAAAGCAGGAGAAGGGTCAGTTGTGCCCGTGCCTGACCTGAGAGTGGGCTGGGTCTTGAGAAAGTGCCACCTCTGTGCCCAGGCTTTGCAGCTTTGGAACGTGAGGGGGCCACATGTCTCTTTCAGGTTAAGTGGAGACGTGAACCGCTCCCTCAGTCCCTGGGCTGAGATGAACCTGCCTGAGTCCGCTGCCCTGGGAGGGCCACTCTGGTCTCCGAGCATCTGCCACAGGTACCTGGCTGAAGTGACAGTCTTCTGGAAGCCACTTCTGCCTCCCTCAACGCCTCCATCCCCGGGAGGAGCCGTGGGGCAGAGGGGCAGAGGGGAAGCTTCTGCACGGGCTGCTCCCCTCCCCGCTCTGAGCTTCTCTGTCATTAAAAGATCAGCGCAGACACATTCCTCCCTGGGGTCCTGAGGTCGGGGTTCACAGACCTTCCTGTCCCTGCCTTGGTCCCCCGGGCTCCTACAACAGCATGTCAGACCAGGCAGCTGAGGAGCAGCGGGAGCTGAGCCCCAGTCCTGGAGGTGGGGGAGTTCAAGACAAGGCGGGGCGCCACGGGTCAGTGTCCCTGGTCGGAGGCGGCCCCCTTGGCCTCTAATCCTGTCCCTGAGGGCTGGGCCCTGCCACCTAACACCTCTGAACAAACCCCCAGACCAGAGGGGGCCCTCGCCACAGCCTCAGGGTTCCTTTCACTGCCCTGTCCCTTCCACTGGACACTGGCACCTCCCGCCTCCTGGGGTGGTATCTGGTGTTGTAGGAACAGCAGCGGAAGGCCAAGGAGATGTCTGCCTGCCAGCGTCCCCTCCAGCCCCCCGCGTCCCGGGTGGTTCTCATGAAGTTGGTGGGCCGACGCCCCAGGCTCTGCGAGCTTTAATAAAAAGAGAAAGCCCCCCTGTGTGTGCACCGAGGGCGAGGCCACAGGTCCCCAAGGGGACTTGGGAGCATGGCCCTGGGGAGAAAAGCTCTTAGGAAAACGGGTGGGTCCAGATCCACGCTTCCTTGGCGCCTTCCTGGGAGGTGCGTGGCCATGGCTGCTGCCTGGGGCTCTGCTTCTGTCACTCATCCTCGGTGCCCCCTGCCCAAGGTGCAGGCCATCTGGCCCCCATTGTACGCACCAGGACACTGAGGCTCAGAGGGGGGCTCCGCTTTCCATAGTGCCGAGCTGCGACCCAGCACCTACTGCGTCCCTGACCCCCGCGCAAGTCTATTGAACCCGCGGGTCAGGGCTGACCTGTGACTTGCTCAACAGAAAACAGATCACTCAGCTTCTGAGGCCTTCGTTAAGCCCAGAGCTTCCACTCTGCCTGCTCCCCACCTGAGGTCGGCGGCCCCTCCCCACAGATGAACACAGCCACACAAACGCCGTAGGTGAGACCCGCAGAGGGACCAGCCAGTCAACCACAGAATCTAAAGAAATCGTAAACTGTTGTAAGCCTCTAGATTCTGGGGTTTTTTTGCAGCAATAGTTAACTAATCAGTAGGTGGGACAGAGTTCTGTGAAGGAAACAGGTTTCAGAAGGGCAGGAGCCAGCATCCTGTGACCAGCAGCAGCAGGAGTTCACAGACCTCCAGCMGGAGCACCCCACAAATCCCCACAGCTCACTTGCAAGGTCAGCCCAGCCCCTGAAGGGCAAGGCACCCCACTTCCGGGCAAGGACAGACCATTGCTGGAGGGCCTATGGGTAGGCCCCAGAGGGTGCTGGGATAGCAGCACCCACGACCCTGGAGTGTTCCCTGTGGTGGACACTGATGGGTGAGAAATTGTGACCCAAAACGTTTTGATTTTTTTTTTCTTGATTTGATATTTCTTTGTTCAGAAAATGCTCTTTAGTTTTGAATTTGCCCAAGCCCTTTATTTTGAATTGAGGAAACTAAGGTATAAAAAGGTTAAAAGAAGTTTCTGAGGTCACAGAGCAAATGACTGGCTGAGCCCAAAGTAGAACATGTGTCTCCAAGATGCTGTGTTTGCTCAAGGTCACGTGGCTGATTGGCTTTGAGTTATTTTTTTTTTAATATTTACTTTTTAGTTTTTTTAGGTGGACACAATGTCTTTATTTTATTTCAGTGTGGTGCTGAGGATCGAACCCAGTGCTTCACGCATGCCAGGCGAGTGCACTACCACTTGAGCCACATCCCCAACCCTGAGTTATTTTTTAAATTAAGCAAACACTTAACCTTTCCTAGGTAGGAGGCACTGTTGAAAGTATTTTTACAAAATTTCAATTCATTTGATCTTCCTGACAATCCTATTGAAAATGGGTATAATCATCATTTCCTATCTTACAGACAAGAGAAACTGAGGCACAGAGAGACTGAGTAATTTGTCTGAGATCACACAGCTAATAAGTGTCAGAACTAGAAGTTAAACCCAGGCAGCCTGGCTTTCAACCAAAAAACCATGGTGCTTCCTTAGTATAAAAAAATATATATTATTTGGGGTTTCTCTATCATAATAATCCCATAATATAAATAAAGGTAAGATAATCTAAAGGTGAAAAGAGTCCAAGTGTTAGGGTCAAAAGATCCAGACTCAAAGCGTTCACTAGCTGTGTGGGTGTAGCCAAATCACTTACCCTCTCTGATCTTATTCCTCATATGAAAGAAAGTTGTTCTATATTAAGAGAGAACATGGTGACTTAAGGAATCAATATATGTGAATTTAGTTGCCAGATGGGAAAACTGAGGCCCCAGAGAGTCAAATGACTTGCCAGTACATGACAACAGAGCACAGCACCCCACTCTCCTGGTCCACCTCGACTGGCCAGCTTCCCACGGTATCCTATGGATGAGGAAGCTGCCTGCTTGGTCTCAGTGTGTCCCCCAAAGTTGAAAACTTAATCCCCAGTGCAAGTGTGGAGAGGTGGGGGCCCCTGGAGGTGTTCAGGTCCTGGGGACGGAGCCTTCGTTAACGGATGAAGGTCGTGACTGCAGAGTTGTTTTTGGGGGAGTAAGTTTCCTATAAAGGCAGTTTCAGGGCTGGGGGCTGTGGCTCAGCAGTGGACCACACGCCTGGCACGTGCGAGGCCCCGGTTTGATCCTCAGCACCAAATAAAAATAAATAAATGAAATAAAGGATTTGTGTCCAACTACAACTAAAAAATAAATAAAAATAAAAAGCACGTTCAGTGAGCTGGCACGGTGGCTCACGCCTGTGGTCCTRGCAACTCGTGAGGCTGAGGCAGGAGCATCCCGAGTTCAAGACCAGCCTTGGCAGCTTAGCAAGACCCTGTCTCAAAAGAAGAAAAAAAAGGGGGGGGGGCTGAGGCTGTACGTAGCTCAGTGGTCAAGCACCCCTGGTTCAGTCCCCAGTACCAAAAAAATAAAAAGACCCTTGCTGCCCCCCCCCATCTCCTCATCCTCCCCCACCCTCCCTCCCCCTGCCACGGGGTGAGGCAGGGGGAAGGCCTCCCCCGGAAGGTGGCCCCCTGACCGTCGTCTCCCCAGACATCAGGAGGACAAGAAATGCATCTCCATCCTTTGTAGATTAGAGACTCCTTGTTCCATTGTGGCGGGACAAGGACACCTCTCCCCAGACACCGTCCTCACCCGCCTGCTCTTTGGTTTCTGTGAAAGGGCTAAATTGAGGACCTGAAACCAGCTGAAATGGGGACGCAGAGCCTGCTGTGTCGAAGCAGCTGGTCCAGGTGGGGGAGTGGGGGAGGGAGGAGGGAGAGGGCTGTCACCGAAACCCAGTGGGACATCGAGGCCTTGGAGCTGGGGATGGTTTGGAAATCAGTCCAGCCCCAGATTCTCCTGTCCAGCCCCRGGGCTCTGAGGAGCCATGTGATGGGCAGAAGGGGCCAGAGCTACCCGAAACCCTCCTTCCTGGCCAGTGCCCTCCCCCTGAGCATGACCTTGGAGTTGTTAAATCTGACTGTGGTTAGTTACTGACATGAGTTGAGCACTCTCTGCGGCCACGTGCTATTCTCAGGACTTGACGTATTTACACCTGAGACAGAGACTAGTGACATCCCCGTCTCACAGACAAGGGGACCGCAGAGAGGTCAGCTGCAGGCCCCAAGCCACTCCGTAGAGGATAATAGGACTCTGACCCACGGCCTTTGCAACCGTCAGGCCTGGCAACCGAGCCACCCCTGCAGTGACCGGCCCCAAACAGCAGGACTTGGGCAACGAAGGCCAGTTTCCTCCTTCCCCAGCCCCACGGCGCCATCCATGACCACTCTATCAAGCGGCTGCCGGCCTCCATCTCCCACCTCCACTCCAGCGGCAGCCCACCCACCTGAGCTTCCCCTTTCCCCCATTCTAAAGCTGTCCCCTCCTCGGCCTGCCTTAGAGACTGTGACSGGGGCTGTCTAAATGGACAGTGGTGGGCCCTCTTGCTACGGCCAGCTCTGAACAAATAGCCTCTCTGCGTTTGCATTTGGGTGGCCAACCAGGGGCCGGTGGACCTCGCAAAAGGCCAGAAATTCCAGATTTTCAAAAATACCACTGGGGACCTGGTTTACCCTGCTCCTGGCCATTCTCAACTTCCAGGCCTCAGTGCAAGGTGGCCCTTCGCTGGAACCTGGGTTAGTCAGCTGTCCGTCACTGTGGCCAGATAACCACCTTATGCAGGTTTAATCTGGCTCACAGTTTGGAGGTTCCAGTTTGTGGTCAGTGGGCTCCATGGCTCTGGGGCCTGTGGTGAGGCAGGGGGGACCGGGGACAAAACAGCTCAGCTCCTGGCCAGGCAACAGCAGAAAGAAGAGGGGACTGGGGTCCCACAATTCCCTTCAAGGGCACGCCCCTGGTGACCTAAAGATCTCCCACTAGGCCCCACCTCTTCAAGGCTCCACAGCCTCCCAACAGTGCCTCCCTGGGCGTCAAACCTCTTTGGGTGAATAGCAGAATCCCAGTTCAGCCATCTGTTAGCTGGGTGGCTTCATGTGAGCAGAGTTAACACCTCTGCAGCCCAGTTTCCCAGCCATTTCCAAGCCATGTGGCTATGGGCCAGTGACTTGACCTCTCTGAACCTTGCTTGCAGGGTGATCCTTCCTATTCCAGAGCTCAGTGCGGTGATTGGATGAGATTTGCCTGTTGAATGTGTGGCAAAGGATCTGGGACACAAGCAGCAGATGTGATCTCTAGATGGAAGTTCACAGCAGAAAGAACGAGGCTACGTGGACCTGCGGATCCAGCCTGAGACCTGCCAGAGTCACGACCTGCGGATCCAGCCTGAGACCTGCCAGAGTCGCTTCCAGCCTCGTGGGTGGGAGAGCAGTGCTGGCAGGAGCTGGAGATGCCTGGGCACTCTTGCTGCATCCTTTCCCGCCACCCTTGACCACTAA